GTCGAAAATAAAATTATTTATTAGTATATGAGAAACATTTTCTCATATTTTATGAATTGATTTTATTCTATTTGACTATGTTTCGTAATTATTTAGCAATTTGAACCGATATCATGACATCATCAATCAATACATAGATCTTCAAGTTTTATTTCGTTTTATTAACTAACACATATATATGCGATTAGTTATTATGAAGTTTATATATCCTTCTAACATCAATTATAATATACGATATGACTCATTGATTGAAGAAATAATAAGAAAAGTATATTCGTCATGTATCAAAAATAACTTTCTTTGACGTATCGAAATTTCGTCTATTTTCAAAACTAAACATTCCTACGATACAGTGGCGTACGCAGGGGGGTGAGGGGGCCCGGCCCCTTGAGACAAAAAGTCCTGGAGGGGCGTACAGGAAAAAATATTTTCGCGTGATAAAACTTTTTATACTGTATCCTTTGAAATATATTTAATAGAATACAAAATGCAATCATAAATTCTCGTTTAAAAATTTTATTTTTTACCCATCAGAAGCAAATAATGATATTGTTGTACTTCCAACAATTCGTATATCAGTTGGTGAAAGAATTTCATGAATTGAAAATGTTAATATAGCATGTCGAGGTAAATCACAATATCTTAATGGTAATGTTAACCATTCATTCCAACTAAAATTAAGAATAAGAAAACAAAAAATCTATTATTATTGTTTTATATTTAAAAAAATAAAAAAACTTACTTCCATTTATCTATAAATGATTTAAATGATGTTTGAACAGGCATACATAATGGTTGTCCATCAGAAAAAACTTGACAAATAACATATGGTTCACTATGTTTTGTATCATTTAAATTACGAACAAATGATGAATTTTTCGATAAAAATAAATCATTTATAGATTGTTGTGATCGTTCACCATCGACTGAACCACTAAAAATAAAAATAGAACAAAATCAAAAATAATTCATTATTTTTTTTTTTATTTTGTTTTTTTTACATTTTTATTTGAATACGATCTTCAAGTTCATGACTAAAGACAAAATGAAATTTTTCTGATGTTGTTGACATTTTCTCAATCAAACATCTACAAAACTAAGTCATATAATTGTAAGACTATTTTCGACAAAACAAAAATAATAATAAGTCAATACAATGAATCAGAATGAATTATTTGTTCTTAACATATGACTTGTCATCATTGCTTGTAGCGATAAATAAATGCTAAATAACATTTTCTATTGGTCATTTTATTATGACCAATAATTGAGTATGACTATTTTTATTATATTTTTATTTTTCAATCTGTCAAATCTGAAATTTACTTTTTTAAAAATTTAAACTATCGTATTTTGAACTTTACTAGAAAGTACTACAAAAATAGAAACATAAACTTTGGTTATTTGTTGTGATATTACTGAAAAAAAAAAACAATTCCTCATCTTTTTCTTTGATCTTCCAATGAATGTATTAACATACAAGAACGAATGTAACTTTCATTTTATCATTTTTTTAGTTCTAATGTGGATATGATAGTAAACCGGTTTTTTTTGGTATAGGAACATATTTTTCATAATAACATATGAATAATTATTATTTTATTATTTTCAACAACGTATCAACAGATACCGTGTCAATTGCCATGACATTACTACCAAGCAGTAGTTCAAGGAACGTTATTTTGTCGTTTATACTAGTATGTGTTGTTGAAAATTATTGATTATCACACCTAAACATCGTTTCGAAATAGAGAATAGCGAGAAATTGACCTTCATTATAAACAACATTGAAACATTATTATATGTATGTGATAATGATATGCATATAGTAACGTTTATGAGGGACAATTTTTTGTCTTTTTTTTTTCTATTTTGAAACGACGTTTAAGTGTGACAAATCGTAATGTTGGCTGTACATACTGATCTAAACGATAAAATAAATGACGTTTCTTCAATTAGATGGGTACTTGAAAGTATATAGTTTAAAAAAATGCTATTAAATCTATAAACAATACTAATCTCATGTTTGTGATTTTATTCTCATGTATTAGAAAAGTATTATATAAATCATTTTTAAAAACCGAATGCTTTATTACTCTCTATTCTTCATGATTAGTTAACATGAGTAGTGATATATGTGATGAATTGAAAGTTTCTAGAGTACAAAATATAGATTCTAATATACTAAAAATATATTTTAAATCAGCAAAAAATAGTCAAATATTCAGTCTAGAATGTTTCGATACACACCTTACGTATCTTTATTCTAGACGAAAAAATTAATTTATCAAATTGTTTTATCTAGATTCGCACAATTCATAATAAAACATATTTCGAATACATGAAGTACAATTCATACTCAATAATATATCATATTAACATTATAATCGAGTGACAAATAGGATATTGAACTTGATAGATTTAGTGTAATCATATCAGTAAAACAAGACGTATTTAATTTCCTTGTGTTTCTTATGGAAAACACTAGGTTGATGAAGTTGATTTTACTAATATCATGGTACTCTCTAGAGCCAACAGCTACATATTCTGATGTTCTTGTTTGTGTCAGTGTAATTTTCAAAAAAAAAAAAAAAGAAATTAATTTTATTATATTGATGTTACGGATAGCGCAGTCTTAAACAATAACTTACTCAAAAGAAATTAAATGACAGAAAAAAAACAAGAGAATTTAAATAGAATCGATGGCGTGGTTTATCTTTTTGCATTATCTATTTTCTATTAAGATTCTATAAGCTTAAAAATTTAATAAATATAATAGTATACGTATTTAAATATTTCAATTGATGAATTAATTGCTATTCAATATTTACCAACATGGCACAAAATAAATGATAATGAAAATAATCTAGATTTTACATTAATAAAAAAAAAACTATTTTTGAAATACTTTAAAAAATTTTAGATAGAAAAATTTTATTCATGTTCTCTTTTTATTTTAATTATTACCGCAACATAATAAACATGGATGTTTTTCTATTGATCTACAGTTCTCGGCGTTCGAAAAAGAAGTTTGAAAGAAATATAGCGATGGTAGAATTATTAAGTGTTCTGATAGTTAAGAAGTCTTTGGAAATCTTTTATAAATCGGGAATTAAACAAGCTAAAGCTATCGATTTTACATTGATCGAAAGAGGGCATTGACACCTGTTGAATGGTTGTAGCGCTAATCAAACATGAATGGAAAATTTTTAATACGTAAGTTCCAACTGTCAAAATCCTCTAAAGTATCCGAAAACTTTACTCCGAGGATATTTTACAAACAAAACATCCTCGTTCATCATATTTCGATGATGACAATATTCAGAGAGTATTTAAAAATACTGTAGATTATTCATTAGACTTGATCAAACATGAAAAATGAACTATACGATAAATGAATTGCAATTTAGTCATTTAATAAAATACAGAATCTCGTAATCAACTATCTAAAGTTGGTTATCAGTTATTTGAAGAACAGATAAGATAAATATACGTTCTACATCAAAGGGATCAATTCTAAAAACAAGATGGAATTTGTTCCAAACTCTCAACGCATTTTTCTTATTAATTCATTTTATGTACAAAACTAACTAATTGTCTTGTCATATTGAATTGATGATAATCTAGGCAAAAAAGTTATGCTCGATCACATTTCGATAAAATAAAACTGTCCAAATAACTATAAAATCGTGATATCCATTATTACTTCTAATTTGATTTTATTCCATTTTTTCCAACATTTCACATGTAGTTAAATTTTTTTTCAATAGGCTTGTGCAAATAAATAGATAAAGTGAATCTTCTTCGATAGAAAAAAGAAGAATCAGAGAATACTTATCAGCAAAAAAAAACACTTCATAAAATTGTAATCAACAAATCATACTTGAAAGAAAAAAGCACTTTCACTATGCATACATATTCTTGATATAATTCAAAGCAAAAAAAAAGAAGAGGGCCTGACCGGGGATCGAACCCGGAACCTCTCGCACCCAAAGCGAGAATCATACCACTAGACCATCAGGCCACGGTATCTCTTTTTATATATTTTAGTTTTAACCCTACCATCAACAGGTTTTATGTGTCACAAAACAAAATGATGCTAATTATTCTCGCCTACGTAAACATCTCAAAAAAAAAAAAGATATAAATAGCCCTAGTAATTTATGCAAATTTAGATAAGTAATGTACTATAAGAAAATATTTCTGTTAATTATTCCATTTTTATCTTAGTTAAAAGAATCTAATTACTTTTCTGCTTAGCAAAAATTATTTTGATCGTATCATATCATCCTTGTTGATCTCTAAAAAATATACAAGACCTCCACAACAAAAAAAAAGCAAGAACTTAATTATTTTATAGGTGTTAAAAAAAAATTATTTTTTCTTTCATTACACACATAGAATATCAAAGCGTTAATAATTTGATTTGAAGTACTCCTGTTTTCTTTTTTGATTTGTAGTTAATTGTATTATTTTTATTTAGATATTTTTTTTTCCCTAGATTATTTTTTTATAATCTTTTTCTATAATAATCTGTTTTTTTTTGTCAACTAAATACATCAATACTATAGACTATGACAACAAATGTATAAATAAATACATATATTTAATATACATATATACATATATATATAAAGTCTAAATAAGCAAACATACATATATCTATATATAGACATACAATCTAATCTCTGAAATACATTGAATGAAAATCACTAATAATAATGAAAAAGCACATGACAATTTTTGCTCGATATTTTGTCTCACTCTTATATCTGCCTAAATACTCGTAACGAAAAAAACAAAAAAGAAAAAAAGAAATGAAATACAAGATAGAAAGAAAAATATACACATATAAACAATGAGAAAGAAAAAAATAATAATTATTATTATATATTAATATACAATGCTAGATTAGTTCGAGAAATCTGATTTAATAGCCTAATCTAGCTTTAGTATTAGTCAAATACAAAAAAAAAACAAAACGAAAGAGAAATGAAAGATCACTTGACTTTAATAATATTTTGTTGTGAACTAAATAAATCACGTTTATCAAATAATTGTTCATGTTGATCCATAACATAAGAATCAAGATTAGCTGCATTAAGATTTCCTTGAGTTCCTGTTGATGGTAATGAATAAAGCACCTTCCATTTACGTTTTTTATTATGTTGTTTATTATTTGTAACACCTAATAAAGGTTGAATTATATTTGATGTTTTATTAGTTGATTCTAATGGTCGTTTTGATGATGGTGACGGTTTTGGAGAAGATTCTTGTTGTTGTTGCTTTTTATTATCATGTTCATTGTCAACAACAACAAATTCTAAATCATCATGATCATCAATAATTATCCACGAATCACTCATTTGTTTTGGTGGTGATTTTAAAAGGACATTATTAGTAGCCATAAATAGTTTTTAAACAATATAAAAGAAAAAAATCTACAAAATGAAAATAATGTTTGTCTAGTAAAAAATCTTCAATTTATTATATGGTAGAAAAAAAGAAGAAGAAGCCAACCTTGAATGAAGATAGAGAAAAATAATGAATTATTCGCGAATAGACATATTATTATATAAAGAAATAGTTATGATGACGACGACGATAGAATGTACCCACGCATTATTTTTTTCTCTCGAACAATCGACTATCGTTGATATAGAGAAAGCCAAAGAAGAAGGAGAAAAAAGAAACTCGGGACTTTATTTTCTGCTCAGCACCCGTATACATTTTGACAACTGTTCTTGTTAGCAATGGAAGAAAGAAAAAAAAGAAAGAGAGAGAGAGAGAGAGAGAGAGAGAGAGAACGAACGATAATAGAGTAGGCATGTGATCGTCGTTATTTTACGCACACATCATATGAATATGCACTCACGAGGTCGATGACATCATATTACTATTGGACAAAAGAACGAACACTTATTTGCAGTGTCTTCTTATGCGGTTATAAGAAAAAAAGAACCGCTCTTTTTTATCAGAGAAAGAGAGAGAGAGAAAATATTTAGAGCTATTCGATGAATATTAAATCTTGGATCTTAAGAATGAAGAATTTTTATTAGATTACTTATTGATTAATTTTTCTATCGTTCAAACATTTTTAATCTATAAAACATAAAATAGAAATTTTGTAATACTAAAGCTTTGCCTTTACAATGTTGATTTTAAATAACATAGATTAGTTGAAAAGTTAATTTGTATTTAATGCAACAATCGAAAAAAAAAAGATAATGAATGAGTCTTGATTAAATCATGTTGTAAAAATTCATAGTCATAAGTACTTGGCATAGTACAATTTGTTTTTTTTTTTTTTTTGATAAAGACGATAGAATTCAAAAATTATTATAAGATATATTTGAAGAAAAGATGAAAAAAGTAAACATATGAAAATGCTAATGAACTCATAAAAATTTATTGTGATTTTAGTTAGAATAATTTCAAAGCGAAAAATTAAGTTTTAGATAAAGATGATCAACGGCATCGACTTTATCTTCAACACGTATCGCTACTATTCTATGAAGATCTTGCAAATTAAAGAGTCACTTGTGACTTTTCAAGTCTATCAAAATGGCAACTTTACGGGAATTGAATGTTAGAAGAATGTTTTTTTTCTTAAGATTCACACGAAAAATGCTGCACAACCATTTTCATACATTTATAAAGAAGAACTCCCGAGTCTAGGTGATTTAAATCTATTCAATTATAATTAATGACATAAATTGACTAAAATTAAGAATTGGAACAATAAATGCAATATTGATTGACGAAATAATGTGTTCTGTCACAACAATATGAAATAGAATAAAAAAAATATGCACTCCGCACTCGATGACACTGTATGATTGCGCATGAGATTATAAAGAAAATAGACGCAACTATATTTGTTAAGCACGGCATACTACTTGGTGCAAATTTTTAAATACTATTTTTTTTGATAAGAAAAAAAAAGGTGTTTTAATTTAACCAATAAACACAAAAGAAATATTGAAAATACTAGGTGAAAATGTATTAGAATCATGTGCTTTCATTATATTTTACTGGCGATTTCTCTAGTTTTGATTAATCAATTTTCATTTGAAATAAATCGATATTCGATTGAATCTTGATCTTTATCATTTGTCATATTAATTTACAAATGTATCATAAAACAATTAGTTTTTTAAATCAACATCAGATTAGACTATCTCACTCAACAAACATATAACAAGTTATTTTTTAATAAACGTATATTAACAAAAGAAATGTTGAATTCATTTGTTTGTTCAGCATTCAAATATTTATGGAAAAGTATGTGTATAATCTACTAATTCAAGTTAGCTATATAAATTGGAAATTTTTCGTTCATAACAAAATTGAATATTGTTGGCTGAGATCGATTTTTGAACGGCAAGCCTAAAGAACATCTTGTGAACCGTAAAACTTATTCTAACTAAAGAAAAGTAATGCATGACAGTTTCTCTCCAATTGTACATTATTTAGTCATAGTTTCAACTTCAAAAAAATTTGTATAAGTACTTAAAAATCTGTGAACATAAAATACATCAAATAGGAAGCTTGTCAAAAATCATGCCTTTACATTCAAAATACTTTTATCAAATAATAACGAGTCGTAGCGAAAAACAGCATATACAATCTCTCATCTATTGAATATTGATAAAAATTATTGCCTCATTGAGTCTTTCTGATTAATCTTGTTTTGTGAATGATTATGTAAGATAAAAGGAAGATGAATATAGATTTTATAAGCATCTTTGAAGTGGATGATTGATTTTTTGCGAGGAAGTAATATTTCAGTTGACATTGCAAATGCATGGGTCAATTCAAGCATATCAAAACAAAATACTTACAAGATCTCTTAATAAATAAATACAGAATTATATTAGATGTAGCAAAGAAAAAGATTGGTACGTATCAGTGATGAACACAGGGCAGCACGAAAACTTATTTTGTCTTCCGATCACTAAACTATATAGTATTTTATTACTTATACCTTATTTATTTCGTATCATTTTCAAATACAACAACTAAATTTTTACTTAATGACAAATACTATAAATACAAGAAAATTTATAAACGTCTTGATTTATTATTTTTATGGCATGTTCATAACAGGAAATAAATGTGAAAAATCATGAACCTGTAGAGTTTGATCATTACCATCATAACATATAGTGGATACTATTAATAACAAAGATAAAAAAGGACTTTCTAACAAAAATGATATCAGAAAAAAGGAAATATATGTCACAAACAAAATTAAACTTAGGTAGGTTTTGTTGTTAATTAGACTCAGAACAACGCGTTAATTTTCTTTTATTCAAAAATAAATTTTCATTTTCCTTTGTATTAAGAAAGCATCTCAAGTACCTACTTTTTTACTAGACAAAGTATTCTCAAGTATTCATGCTGTTTCCATAAAATTTAGCAGTATCAAATGTTTATACTCTATGTATCATCTATGAACTAGCTCAAATTCGAAGATAAGTAAATAGCGACAAAAAAATACTACTAAAAAAGTCCTGTTTTTTGGTCGAAATTTGTTAAGAAAAATTAAATTTCCATAAAGAACAGTGACTAGCCTTGCAACTTTTTAGATTTAACTATCATTGAATTAAAACTGAACAAAGTTCGAAATTACAAAAATTTCTAGTTCAAACAATTATTCTCAAAATGGACACAACGTAGAAAACGTATGTGTCAATGATAGACTTTAGGATATCACATCCTTTTACTTCATATTTTCAGATGTATGTAATGACTAAATTAGTATTCATATCTAAGAAAAGATTATAGGTGCGTAA